TATGGTACACGTGGGGTATGTGGTACACGTGGGTCAAGTGGGACAAGTTGGACACGACATTTTTGAGACACCGTACAGTAAGTGCATGGATATCAAATGAATTGGCGGTGTAGGTCCACCCCCTAAATAGCTGTATATGTATATCAAGTTGATTATATTATAAGTACATATGACATTCGTTGTATATGTACATTACATGAATGGTTTCATATATATATATTACATTTTTTGTATATGCCTATGAAATTGTATGACATCGCTCAAATGCTGTCTTAAGTTTATAAGGTTGACTATACATACAGATGACATTGGCTGATTGTGTACATTACCTGAGTGGCTGTAAGTATATTGCGTAGTCAATATGAGCATATTGCATCGGCTGTGTATGAACATTACTCGATTGTCCATATATGTATATTAATTTGGCTGTATATGCATATGATATTGACATTGGCTGTGTATGTACATCACCAAAATGGCGGTATATTTTTTATTAATTGGCTGTATATGCAGATAACACTGGATGTATATGCATATTTAGTTGCCACTACATGTATATTTGATTGGCGCTATATGTTAGTGCAAACCATTCAAGTACACTCTAATTATTTCAAACATGTAATTAGTCAAATATTGAGTGCATGGTTTGAATGATGAACCAACCATGATACACATTACATGCACCTGGCTCACAGACTGTAACCAATATCTTGCAATCAATTCGGGAAAATAGTTGGTTCAACTGTTGTATTATATTAAATATTAATTATATGTGTTTGTAGTAGTTTTATTTAATACACAGTGTTATTATTCAAATTACAAAGTACATTATTGTTAATCAAAGTTTTATTTGTTTGAATGTGCATGATGAAATTCGAAAATGACAATCAGCGTAAGTCCGAGAAATGTAATATTCCAATCGAAGATGAATTATTTTGAGAAATGTTGTGTTACCTAATACTCAGAATGAAAATGTCTTTGTACTAGTCATGCTAAATTTCTACAAGATGTATAATATTCTATATTACAGTACGTTATTCAAATCAGAGAGGGAAACTCGGACGCGAAAGATTTTTTTCATATATCATTCCATACTATACAGTTTACAGTTACACCATTATGTACCATTCTACTTACTATGTGTCCGCGATCAAGGTAGTAGAAGTGAGAATAATCATACATGCAACGTAAAACGAGGAAGTATCGGTGACTGAAGGCTGTGATTATCCTAACCACAATGCCAGCGCAGAAAAAGAACTAGCTCAATATATCACCTCCACCAAAGTTCGTTTCCACCAAAAGTTCTGCAAATATTCATTTACGCAATAGTTTGTTCCCATTCCTACTTTCTTTTGCAAAACTTTTTTCAACAAATTAGCTGTTCCATCAACTCCGAGCCACTTTCAAGGTACCTTTATTAAAAATAATACGTTTGACTTCTACCTATCTTTAGATTTTCTGTTCATATTTTTATTTTGTTATGACTCCCACTGACTCTAATGAACTAAAGACTGACCATATTTTTCTTAAACCTCATAGGCTATATATTTATATGTTGTAAGCGAGATACCGATCAGACAATAGACGCTACTTTGGGGTAAAGGGATTTCGATCACGTATCAATTGGAAATGGACTCACTTCACAACATTCGAAATATGACTTGAGATCAAACATTTGGTTCCTCTGCTCTACAACAGTGGTTTCCAACTTTTCTACCCTGGCGGACCGGTGAAATTAAAATGCCGATTTTTAGGTTTCTGAATCTTGCGAAATTTGATGGAGCGCATTCGCGTTGAATCGGAGCCGAAAAAGCGAAAGAAAAGTGTGACTACTCGGCGCCAAGATGTCGCGAAAGACGTCGCAATATGACGACGGAAGAGAAATTCGGTAAAGCGATTCAGACGGCAAAAAACAACAAAACAACGAAATTTTCGCGGACAGGCAAAAAAGCTTCGCGGACCGGCACCCATCCGCGGACCGGCGTTTGGGAGCCACTGTTCTACAAAACGTCTGTAATCGCGTCGAAAAGTGGTATACCTATATATAAATCTAAGAATTTGCCACTTTACCCTGGCCTTCCATATGCATCATTGAAAACATCGAGTGGGGTTGGTAACGTGATATACATATACAACCAAAAATATACGTATAGCGCCAACTAAATATACATATATCCCCAATTAAATGTGCATATACAGCCAATGTCATATGCATATACAGCCAATTAATATACAAATACAACCATTTTGTTGAAGTACATACACAGTCAATATCATATTTATGTATAGTCACTCAATATACACACAATAAGACATGTAAAGCACATGCAAAAGTCAATATCATATGCATATACAATCAAATTAATATACATATACAGCGACAGTAATGTACACAATCACACAAAATCATATGTATAGTCAACTTTATGCATTTATGAAGTCATTTAAGCGATGCCATACAAACACCGCCAATCCATTTCATATAGACGCACTTACTATATATTATGTACCTATGCGTTGCATCTATAAGTCGAGAGCTTGGAAGTCATGTTTATATAATGAGTGCGTTAAAATGACCCTCAGAAACTACTTAATAAAGACTTTCGATAGGAGTTTCCTACAATAATTGTAAAGTATATGTAATAAATTATTGTGATAGCAGCACCATTTGGTGACAACATTCTACAGGTTATTCGTGCGTAACGATGTGTACAATATCAGCCGCTCGTGGTAATATTTACAATGGGTTGCAATCTATGATTGATAAGAAAATCTTATGACACTCAAAAATATTTACATTGAAAATGTCTGTCTCTAGAAGAGTGTACCTACAAGATGAAAGCATTCATTTTATTTTTTTTAACAATAAGCGCAATATTCTGGTACAGCAATGCATTAAAAGAGGGATCAAGATCTGCGGAGAGCAAGAAATATCGATTGAAGAGAGACGGATCAGATGGAAGAAAATGATGTGAATCAACACCTTATTTCTTTCGCAAGCTGCGAATAAAGTTTTTCAAAACTTAAGTTAATAAAATCCATCGACTATGGGAGAAAGCAGACTGTCTGCGCTAGCAATACTGTCCATTGAAACTGTTTTAGTTCAGACATTATCGTTTGACGATATAATTTCTGAATTTGCTTCAATAAAATCTATAAGTATATTGAATTTGGAACATTCAATAGAATTAAACAAATACTGCTTTATTTCTTCTGTTGTGTGGAATTTTAATCAGCTTGGACGGTGTTAAGGATGCGGCATTTCGTGCAAAAATCAAAGGGCGGTATATTGCATTGCTACGCCACTGGTTCTGACTTGAACTGATGCATGTTGAAGGGTCGAGAAGCAGGCGAGATGCGCTGTTCAGGAGGCGTCATCTGACGTGGCCACACGCTCATGTGCAATCATAGCTAAATGCTCGTCACAGAATTAAGTAGTGGAATTGTTGCACCGATTTTCAATAAAAATAGCTGAGATTTGGAAAGCACATCGCTTTACGACTTTATCGACAATAAATGTTCGAATGCGAATTTATTGACTTAGAAAGAAGCTGAGAAGCAATAGAATAATGGTTAATGCATATAAGACGACATTGTTGAGTTTGTAGCTAGTTTGATTATGCCCGAACAAATAATCCATTGACGAACGATTGTCAGTACGCAATTGATCCTCTCCTAGGACAGGGATGGGCAACCCCTGCTCATTTATTTGTCACGCGAGCGAGGTCTCGGAAACGGGTTCATTCTCCTTCAGATAGAAAATTTCAAGACTCTGAATTATCTGATAAAACTAGGTGTTCATTCATACATAATCTTTCGTTACAATCCGGTATCATCGTATTTAAACTCCCTCTGTCCTTTCGTGACATATGGCTACAAATATATTATGACGTAACAAATGAGTGAGCTCTCGAGAAATTTTATCGAGAAGGGCGCAGCATTTATTTGACTACACTTTACGTAATATAGTTCGTTTGTTCCACCCTTTTTCCTCATTTCCGCTTGATTGATTTAGTTACTTGCTAACTTATAAATTGATTTCGAAAGAAATATAATCGATTAGGGAAGGGAATACAAGAGACAGGTGCAGAAAACGAACTATTGCGCGATTAGGATGCCATTCCTGAAAATTCTTAGTGTCTTTAAAAAACTTTGCAACTGCATTAATCTCCATGTTTTCATCTAGAATCAATCAATCATCATTTATCCGTCAGCACAAAATAAACGTATCATAAGAAAAAACATTTCAATCACACATATGCTTGTGATTCTATGATCTCAGTTGTGAAATTTATTAAGTCTCGTAACAGGAGTAGCCCAAAAGATGAAGCCAGTAGTTTGTGTATTTTTTTAAAAGTTGCAAAATCTAAACTCAACATAAAATCTATATCAACTGTTTTTAATGCAGCAGCAGAAGTATCGCTGATATAGAATAAGAAAAGTAATCAAATCTATTTGTCGGACTGACAGACTGATATTTTCCTGAATAGTGAATCTGTCTGTACACGTTTAAAGGGTTTTTTCTTGTGTATTTTTGTTTTTAAAGTAGCAAAGCATTGTTTTTAATTTTGGTCGGCACGCGGAAGAATTTTGTCTTTAAATTTATTCGATTTTGGCACGCGAGCCGAAAAAGGTTGCCCACCCCTTATATGCGGGTGCTTAAATCCATGGGTTAGGGTTAGTATGGGTTCAAATATCAGTAGGTGCAAATTTCCATAGGTGCAATTGTCGTGGGTTCAAATGCTGGTGACTGGCGAAATAAATTGAGTTTTTGAACAAGTTGTGGTGGATAAAGGTCTCGTCCTTTTTTATTGCATATGGCAACTTATCGGTACATTAACGAATGAGATAATTAATTTCACGATTACGAGCTGTTTAGTTGCTGTTCAATTTGACGTTGTTAGTGCTATGTGCCGTTATTATTGATTTTAATGACATCGATTTAAAATTTTGTTTGTGTGAAATTTTTTTATATATATCCCTAACGTAAATTATTAGAGCAAAAATTAGTCATAAGGAATGGAATCAGCAAATTCATATTTCCTTCCTGTTGACTTTGTAATATTTGGAGGTGAGCTTGCATTATTTTTATTTGCAATTGAAAGTAGGAATTTTGCGAGTGGAAATTACCAAAGTATCAAAATATGCTACTGTATATTATTTAAACGATGGACGAGCATTGAAATCCAACTTCTCATTATATGAAACTTCTATAAAATAAACCGTACCACCATATCAAATATTGGTACAAATATGTGACTAAGGCACAGGCAAATGCTCTACTATAGCTGATTGAAATAAAAATAAGGTAACATCGTCTCAAAACAGCGATTCACAAATTCGCGAGTAAGTATATCATTTCAGATAATATCATGTCCCTAATTGTTTCAGGAATACTGTTTGTCTGCGCTTCGATTGGCGTGTACTTTGCTTACAAGGACAGGAAAGTTCAAACAACGGAAAACTACTATTTTGGACGGAGAAATGTGAACCCGGTAAACATGCACTTATTTAAACATAATATGAAATGAAGTAAAAGTTCGGTGTTATTGCAATTATTCTGAAAACTAATATGAGGCTTATGGAAATAATTACCTGCCTAAATGTCATTCACTCTAGTGACAGTCTATACAAGTCTTGACATTCTTTACATCCTCGACATTCCGAATTATTACATGAAGCTAAAATACAGTACTGAGATCGCATACTTTCCAATAATTGAGGCAAGCTTCAAAACATTTTTAAACAAACTTTTTCGATTTCAGATTATTGTTGCAATGTCATTATCAGTGTCATACATATCAGCGCTTACTGTCATTGGCAATCCAGTCGAAGTATATCTTTTTGGTAGCGTATATGCATGGACCGTGGTTGCAAACCTCATAGGATTTATTGCTGCTTCAATATATTACATTCCATTGTATCATCGGCTTCGTATAAATAGCGTATACGAGGTTAGCTTTGCATTTTGACGACAACAATTTTTATATTCGTATTAATTTTAACGAGTTATACTCTCTAAATTTTCATGCCAATCTATTTACTATGTAATATATATATTTAGGCTGAAATTATACGATGAAATTTGCCTTATTATCTTTCACAATAAGGACCACAACTCTATATCATCTCAAATTGGAATTTCTTACGATATTTGCATCAAAACATTACTATATTCATTAGCCTACTATTTTGCGCCATTTCGAACTTGATATACATCAAAGTGTATCCTATAAGAGCAATAATATTAAGATTTGTATTCGGGATTATATAAGATAAATTTATTTTATACGAATTATTTACCTTTCTATATATATTACATTTCAACAGTATTTGGATCGACGTTTTCATCCTAGAATACGATCATTTGCTTCATCAATGGCGATGATTAAATTGGTAAGTTATTCCAAGCTATAATTAGAAAATACGACAAGATTTAGGCTTCCTTAATATCAAAAAGCAGTCAGTTTGATTAACCGTCTAATAAACAAAGCGCTGTTCATGGTGAATCGCCTGCAAATACCATGTGATTCCTTTGACACCGATTTGCGAATAAACGTACTATTAATTGAATGGATCAACAGCAACAAGCTATACTAATAAATGCGAGATAAACTTAGAAAGGATTAAATATAACCTAAAATTTATTTCAGACATTTTACCTGGGGATAACTGTATATCTTCCTTCTCTTGCGTTGAGCGCAGTGACACCTCTTGGACTAAACTGGACAATTGCATTGACAAGTATCCTCTGCACATTTTACACTAGCATCGTACGTTGATTTTTGAACAATCAAACAAATGAAATTACTGATTTAAGCACAATGAAATGAAAATTATTAAAAAAATAGTATATACCGTACAGAAGAATAAACAAAAGTCGAACAATGAAAATTAATCGAAATAATCGTCAAATTTAATATTGTATATCATGAAGGAGATTGCTGAATTTATTTTAACGGCAGCTTTATTTTTCATTGTACGTTTTGATTATTTCATTATCTGCATGGTTACAGGGAGGAATGAAAGCAGTGATATGGACGGATGTTCTGCAAGCTCTTATAATGATTGCAGGAATGCTTGCAATTTTCATCCAGGCAATAATGATGTATGGAGGCTTCGGACCAATAATGGATGCCGCAGACCGTGGAGATAGAAACAATTTGTTCAAGTAAAAGTTTCTTACATGGATTTGTCCAGCGCTTGTCTACAATATTCAATATTTTATAGTTTAACTCTTTTTACAACATCTCTGATCTTCGATACCTAGAAGTCAATAGCACCTGCGTAAATTTAGCGTCATAGTTATGTATGCAAGTCGTGTATGACGGTGAAAGAGTAAATTATCAATATTTTTACTAAATTTTATTAGATTTCTTTCACAGTCATTTCTACATAACAATTTAGAATTCTTGCACATCATAAATGAAATATTAAATTTATTTTTTGCGCATTGTTGACTCTACTAGACTAGACATTGATCCCAGAATTCGAAGTACTGTGTGGACAATAGGAGGTGGATTGGCACTCAATACTTGTTATTTGAGTTGTTGTAGTCAAGTCACAACTCAGAGATATTTGTCATGTAATTCAGTTCGATCATCTAGAATGTAAGTATATATTGGGAATTGTAGTTGAGTGCGTTTTTCGGAGATACGTTATCATCTCACTAATTTAAACATTTCTGATTGAAAGTTGGATCCCAAAGAAGTCTACCTTTGAATATAAAATTTTAAACATCACATTAGCGACGATTAACCTAAGTCAGGTCACCTTTGTAATATTACTCTTCCGTACGTAACACCTCATTCTTGTCTATATAAACATGAAGTATTCACTAACTGATTACATATTTAAAAGTAGAACAGATTCGATTTTGTAGCATCATTTTAGATATGTGGTAAAATTGATATGAATTGTATTCAACATAATAAACGCGAAGTACTTTAAGGTGAATCGGCTATAGCGATACAATGTATGCGAGTTACGTTTTGTGAGATAATTGCACAAATCTAGTTCTCGTTGGTGACTGAATACTATTTAAATAAAAATACAGGATCAGGCTGGGAATGTAAACGTGAAATTACATATTCAATAAATTGTTAAAAATTTATTGCAAAAATTGCATCATATTTATATAGCGCATTTTTTATAGAGTTACCTAACAATACAAATTGCTGGCTTCCAAATTTCACCTGCACAACAATTGTTCAAATAAGTCAAATAACAAGATTTCAACCACGAAGGGTTAAAAAGGATAGCCACTGTATCATGTGACGCATATAGAAATCGCACCTGAAAAACTAATAAAATACAGCACGCAAGCTTTTTAATTTCGTGCTTTCCATGCATTGTTAATTTCATTCATCGTTCTGTTCATTCTATTCAGAGCTGCATTGTTACAATGGATTCCTGGCACAATCATGGTCCTTCTCTCCATTGCAAATGGTTTAGTCATGTATGCTTATTATGAAGGATGCGATCCACTGTTATCGGGTGCGATTGATAAAAATGACCAAGCAATGCCTAGGTTAGCCCTGGAAATATTTCGAAATTTGCCTGGAATGGCCGGAATGTTTGCGTCGGCTGCATTTAGTGGAACGCTGAGGTGAATTCAAACACAAAAGTTTTGATAGTTATGGTTTCAAAAACACGAAAAAAGTGGGATAAAACACATATCGTATTCAAAACAACTGTATTTACATCCTATTTAAAACTTGAGAGGCTAAAATCTAAAAAGGTTTTTGTTTTACCGGTTTCATCTGTTTCTGGCTCATGCGGAATTTTGAGGCTGTTCTAACCCATTTACGTTGTTGGGCTTGAGTTACATGCGTTTTTTATGTATAATGGTTGTAAATAAAAAAAAAATAAATAAAAAAACACAAAGCAATTTTTGTGATCATTGTAGATTTTTGTTTCGAACTTGTCACGTCACATTATAAATGTGTCTGATTGCAGCTCAATATCATCGGGAGTCAACTCTCTATCAGCCCTGGCGCTGGAAGATTTTGTCATTCCATGTTTTCCAGCGATGTCGACAACAAGAAAAATGGTTTTCTCCAGACTATTAAGTAAGCTATTTTACTCATATGCCTTGTAGATTCAAACGCATTGTATGCACAATTCAGAAAGACAATAATGTAGTTCAATGATTACACACATTATATTACGCAATGATATTGACAAAATTGAGATCTGTTTGTTTTGAATATCCCTGAGGTTATCGCGATTTTGAGCGCATCTACACTTTCATTCATAATTTAAGTAAGACTAATCAAACAGCTTCTACTAATATGTTAACTACATTTTATGTACAATTCGGCTATTTTCATTTCTGCCAATCTTGGACACAGCTGTAGTATTTGGAGGAGTGGTTATGGGAATAGCGTACACCGTTTCGCTTTTATCTTCAAACATTATCCAAATCAACCAGATAACTGTGTCTTTCGGAACACCAATTCTAAGCGTTTTCACAATGGGCATGTTTATGCCTTGGATTAACAGTTGGGTACGTATGTTTTCTAGCTAATTACCATTACTTGAAACTTGCCTGACTTACAGAGGCCCTGCTTGAAAGCAGAAGAGACTTTCATTTGTGGTTCATCGAGTCACCATTTTCTGAATGCCAGGACTTCTAAAGAGTCCTACAGACCACAATGGTCCTTTGAATTAATTATTGTCGTCCAGGGAGCGTTGTCAGGAATGATAAGTGGCATTGTCTGCGGAAGTTGGATCGCTCTGGCTTCGATTAATCAAGCAACCTACCCAGCTACAAGTGAGTCCTTACCCGTGTCCACTAGCAATTGCACTTTGACGAATTTTCTACATAATGCCACAACTACGTCATCTACCGATATACTCGAAGATACCACTACACTCGAACCAATGTCTACGATATATGACGAATACGGGTATTTATATCTTTTTTGTCAGTTCTGCATCCTAACTACTCAAACAGCATGAGAGAGTAGTCACTGAAACAACACCGTCATTCTTGTTGACTCATGTAAAAACAAAATTTGGAGTTTGTCTCTGCAATTTTTCTAGTTGTTCATTTTCCCTACCTCAACTTATCATTTAATAAAAAAAGTAAAAGATTGAAATATATACTTTAATTCATTTACATTTAAAACTTTCAACGCACATATCGGATTCAAACATCTCTTGCTGATTATTCTTCCAACTTATTTTAGATATTTTTTTTATTCATTCTAGATCTGTTTTACAATATACTCTGTATTCTATGTCGCCGTTTTTATATGGGACATTTCATTCTTCGTTTCTATTATCGTCGGGCATATCGTCTCACTATTTACAGGTCAGAATTTTCCTCTGTTAGATAGAATTGCAAGGATTGCTTTATGTAAAAAAATTCACAGAGTATTGGCAACTACCAGTGCCATAAATTATGCTCGTATATAACATGCTCGGCGTTGTGAACATGCTTGCATCCGCTAAGCAAATCACTCTCATGCCCTCCTTCACTGGGGATTTTCCCACTAGGGACTGTTGCAATTAAGATTAAACATCGTGGATTCGATTCGAATCATAGAAGATCCAAATCGCGGCCCATCTTCAATAAAAATTACCGTACATTACATATTTTTATGAGTTGAAAAGTGTTTGGAAGGGAATTCCACTCCATAAAAAAATATTTAATTTTCGATCGGCGTTCTAAGGCATTAATCTTCCGCTCCATTGATATAAAAAAAAATAATGATAAAATAACATTCTGCGACTACACTGGTTTGAGAACACCCGAAATGAAACTGCAGTTGCAAGACAAGTTGCAAAAAATGAACAGAACAATTTTATTCTGTGAACGTGAACAGAAGCATATCAATATATTATAGTAGCCATAAAAGCCGGATTCATCATCAATTTTTATTATTGAAAAGTTACTTTTATTATTGAAAATGTTTTTTGCATGAATTAGTGCCGGTGGGGTCACCTTTGACCCGTGGGTCAATGGTTCGTCCTCCTGTTATAGGAAGATTATTATTAACTTTTGTGCAACGCGTTAAATACCAAAAAGTCTTTAACTCGGATCCTTCATTTAGGATTTAACAAAATATCAGAAGCTGATCCGGATCTATTTGTTCCTGTTATAAATTGCAAAATATTACGTTTTGGCATTACCGAAAAATCGTCAAAAGAAAAAGAAATAGCAGAGAATTGCAAAGAAAATGTTTTCATAAATTCATGCTGTACCGGAGATGACAATAGTCAAGATTTGTCGGATTCCATGCACAATGAAAAAAAAAGAAACTGTCTTTTAAAATATTTATTGATGCATTCTGCGATCGTCGATGTTAAAATTTGTAAGACATCTTTTGCATTCTTATTAACAAACTGCAAATTGCTTTTTAGGTGTCGAAATTGCTTAAACGATTGTAACGAATTGTTGAAGAATATAACAAAAACATATACATGTACATAAATATCAATTGTTTGCGTCACAGTGTGATATTCTAGCCGTTATAAAAACCATATTGTTTCCTAACAAATTCCAAAAGGTTGGTAAGACTTTAGTGTTTGAAGATAGGACTTTTTACATCTGGACTTTGTTCAAGTGTCTTGTGCAGAAAGTTAATCTTTTTATGAATGTATGCATCATATCAAAATGTTTATACGAAATACTAATATATTGCCATGGAAAAATTTGAAGCAACGTGGAGTAATCCTCACAAAAAATATTTTAATTTTTCAATGAAACAAATATTACTCCTATCACATTTGTTTAAATAAACTATTATTTGGAACACTGAGAAGTCAGCCTTACAAATAAAGAATCAGGCTTCTAAGTAGGGAGTTATTTTTATTGGTAAATAACGGGTACTCATACTACTCATTCAAGTTCGGTTACATAACCATATTATTCTAAGCAAAGAGGAGTAAGATTCTCAAAGAAAAATCAATTTTTGCAAATACACATCTTGTAAATTGGATTTAAAGCTATTATTTTAAGCAGATAAGGGTCAAGAAATAGGATCAATTTTGGGAGAAACATTGCACCAATTTGGACATGGGTAGAGTGGGATGGGTAACGTGATATACATATATAACCAAAAATATACATATAACACCAGCTAAATATACATATTTAGTGGTGGGATTCAAATATTTTGTCAGCCGGTTTCATCATACAACCGGGGCGAACCGGCTGAATCCTACTACTGCATACAACCCCAATTAATATACAAATACAACCATTTTGTTGAAGTACATACACAGTCAACACCCTATTTATGTATAGTCACTCAATATACACACAATAAGACATGTATTAATATACATAATACAGCGACTCAAGTAATGTACACAATCAGCCAAAATCATATGTATAATCGACTATATGCACTTATGAAGGCATTTAAGCGATGCCATACAAACACCGCCAATCCATTTCATATCGACGCACTTACTGTATATTATGTACCTATGTGTTGCACTACAAGTCGCAAGCTTGGAAGTCATGTTGATATAATGAGTGCGTTCAAATGACTCTCAAAAACTACTAAACGGCTTTCGATGGGAGTTTCCTACAATAATTGTAAAGTATATGTAATAAATTATTGTGATAGCTGCACCATTTGGCGACAATCTTCTTCATTGTATTTGAGCGTAACGATGTGTACAATATCAGCCGCTCGTGGTGCACGAATATATACAATAGGTTGCAAGCTATGATGCCATAAGATAAAGCCCCACAATATCTTATTGTGATAACATGAAAGAATGGGTGGCTGCCAACGACGACATTGAAAATCTCTTTTCAGTGAACTATTCTTCGGCCATGTGCCAAAGATAAACTAACCAAGTTAAAGTTTTGTGCAAACTATCATTATTCACGTTACATATTGATTAATCATGAAAGCATCGCCAAATTACGTTTATAAAACGAAGCCATGTTCGTTGACGAACTGAGGCAGTGTGGATACGCTTACAGAAACTCTAAAACCGCTGTTGATTGGAATATGAAAAACGACCTGCATTTATCGTAAAGTGGATGTAATAAAATTAGATGTTATGATTTTATATGATTCAGAAGAATCAATCCTCGATATTAATAAAATTTGTTAGACATCTTTTGCATTCTTCTTAACAAACTGCAAATTGCTTTTTAGGTGTCGAAATTGCTTAAACAATTGTAACGAATTGTTGAAGAATATACCAAAAACATATACATGTGTATAAATGTTAAATTTTCGCGTCACAGTGTGATTTTCCAGCCGTTTTGAAAACCATATTGTTTCCTAACAAATTTTAAAAAGTTGGTAAGAGTTTAGTATTTAATTAATTGCAACTATTTTCTGTATCAGCTTTTCATGAAGACAGAAACTGATTTCATGAAAAATATCAAAGAGATTAGCTGAAACAACGACTAAGAAAAAATAAATTGTGGATAGTTAATACTAAAGTACGCATTTGCCTAATTTATGAACTACCTAAACACCAGTGTCTTGCAACCTCAATCAAATAAGATAAGGTGCAAAATACTGACGATATGGGTAAGTAGGAATAAATCAATGTAGAATAAATAACTACGCTAAGTGTTGGCGTTTTTACCGTAAGCTATCACCAAAATGGAATTATTGTAGATATTAGTTACCTATCAACATAGTTACTATCCATTAGCCAAATGTATATTTGAAATAGTCTCAACTCTCAATATTGGAGGAAGTGAAGATTTCACTTTTGTCAGTTTCTGTCTTATTCAGTTTCAAACGATTTTATCAGATGAAAATCCGTCTGGGTCGTTTATGCACATTTCATGATTATTTCAGTCATTGTTGTATTACAATTTACGTTCAAATTAATTGAAAGTATAAGCAAATTCTGATGAAATTTGACGAAAAAAATCTATTTATAGAAGATTAGAATGGAAATTGCACTTGATGACGAAAATTATTCAAATTAAGAAAAAAATTACTAATAACAATGTTGGTTTCTGAAACTCTCTTAATTTCGAGGTATATTGTAAGACCCTATTGACGCCATAACGGTATGAAGGTGCTCAGCGGATTCAGCTCAGCGATGTCATTCTCTGACAATAACCTAGGACTCCTGGAGGCGACCTAAAAATGTCACGGTGTTGTGACGTTATGGAAAATATCCTTTTTTATTTCTGTAATTTCATAATGTTGAAAATTTGGCGCAATTGATAGATAAACCACTCATATGCGATTGTTCTATCTACATGGGTGCAATACGAAAAGTTCGGGACATCAAGCATCTTGCAGAAACACAGGAAGGGACAACCAAAAACGGGAACGATAAAAAGGTTGCTTATGATTTCTATCTATAGTCGTTTAGACTTTAGTTGAATATTGTTTCCATCCATTTTTACACAGGTATAATTTACGCCCCAATTTGTAATTCCATTTCCAATGTTTTCAAATGAAAAAAAAAATTAACGATGCAGCATTCTCGAGATTATAAGCGTATACTGCTTGATATTCATCCAGAACAACGTGCGTCCCCCAGGGGCATAGACTGTCGGACCCGCCAGCTGATACGGTTTTAATTCACAATTACAAATTCCAGAATCCCCCTCCCACTTTAAAAATTCCTGGTTACGCAACTGGCGTCCTCGTCAACTACAGCTTTAATTTTTGTTAGAACAGACGGCAAATGTATATTATGACCTTTTTGTTTTCGGCGAATAGGGGATATTTAGTGTATGACTCCACTTATTGTATGACCATTAATCGTTCACTAGCCAAATTGATATTTTAGCTCTAGTTTTGCAATATAACTTTTTGAATATTTATTGTGTTTGCCAATTACAGCTCTGTAGATCACAGATGAATGTGGCAACAGTCTCTCTACTTCTGATGGTAAGCTTGTTTGAAATTGAAGCAGCACCATTCACTCAACTCAAATGTTTTCAGTTTCGCTACAAATTGGGACAGCAGCAATGTGCACCAAGTAAGAATTTTGTCTCAGATTGTTTCAGTTATCAAATTAAAAGGTCACACTTAAACAATTCTCGGCAGCCTTTTTGAATACCATTTTTGTTGTTACAGAAAGAGGCTTCAAAGGTGATTTAGTACCATGGTACAACTTATGTAACAAAAAATTGGTTCAGTTTGAAGATTGCAATAAACATTCCGGTAATATGCATTGCTGCGTTCACGACTGCAGATGCGTCTTGAGAGGAGGTGGGTATAAACAATAACACAACAGCTGATACCATGTATCATTATTTTATCTTTGGAGTACACAGTTATAAGTATTAATTAATATACACGATGAGCAAAGAATGTATGGATTTGTATGCCACAAATTCGAAAAAGCGGGGTCACATGAAATAACATGGTATTTGACACTCTTCTGTATTCCTTTCCCGTCGAATTTGTTGAAATCCCTCAAAACTATACATTTTACCTCGACGATGAAAAGTTATCGCAGTGGATGAAGACAGAAGTAGAAGAAGGATGTGAACCAGAAAAGAAATATCCCATTTCCGGAAAGATGAGAAAATCTGAAAGTACCAATTACAATTCTGATCCACAACCAAGATAAAGATTTGACAACCCAGGAAACAGATTTTATTAAAAGTTCAGTTAACGCGGTCCCAGAAACTACTGTAGCAAGCAGCAAATGGAACGTTTCGCGGCGTATTGATAGTGATAAATAGAAATGTTTTGTTGAAAGAAGTGGCCCGTATTCATCTAACTTAAATTATGATATTGATTTATACATACTCACACATACTATACTGTAATGACTAAAAAGAAAACGAGAAAAACCTAAAAAGAAAACAAAAAGAGAGAACCAGAAAAACTGTCAAAATGGTTTTTGTTACTCATATTAATAATATTGTAAGAACTGCCATTGAATACCGTGAAGTAAACAAACAAACATACAGAAGTAAACGATGAAGAAAAAGAATTTATTAAGAAGTGTCGCCAAATATTTTTGATGCAAAATTTCCGAGAATTTATACAAGTTGAATGCACGAAGAGACGAGCTATACGCTATTCACCTGTTGCATAAGTAACCAAATCAGATTTCAGATCATATGAATTAATAAAAGCGATCAATGAGTATGATTAAATTATGGTACTGAGATAGGAAAATCTGGCAGGAAGATTATGTTAGATATTAAAGGCCAAAGTCGGGCTCATTATTTATAGCCATCAAATTCTGATGGAAATACATGGATAGAGCC